GTAGAAATTGTTGCAGGGAGACGGCTGTACTACCAACGTTACCAAACTTTTTTTCTAGGGAAGGGCGGTGTTTGCTCTTTGGCAGATGTAGACATGCAAACAGACAGGGGAGCAGAGCAAACTAGTGAACTGATCAACAGAGTATCTTGTGCAGAACAACAGATAGAGGAGCAGAGCATGAGAAATCCTTGAAGCAAACCCGGATGAAAAAACCCCAACCCACACATGATTAGGCTTTGACTGACTGACAGGCATACATGATCAATAGAGAAAGTGTCGACAAACTGAAACTTTATTTTTTGTGGTCAAAAAAAAAATACTGAAACTGTCAACCCTGAGAGTCTATCTGTTTGTCTTCTTCAACTCTGGTGACGCACGCACTTCAACCTCAACTCCTCCGAGGAACCCATGCTCCACCCACAGTTTTCTGGAACCCATCTCTTGCTCCGAATTGCAGCACCTTGGAAACCGGGATCCCCCTTTCTGCACCAATCCTGCACCGAATCACCAAAGAGAGGTCAATAACTAACGGACAAGCGATTTAGAGCATCTCCAGCCGTTGGCCTCAGGGGGCTCGAAAATTCACCGCCTGGGGGCGACCCGGCGAAAAAATCGGGCTGGGGCTGATCGGGTTCCCAGCTGCCGGCACCAGGGTCGACCCAGAATTTTTTTTTTAAACATACATTCGGCTAAAATTCGGTAAACATGCATAAACTTCACCGAAATATAGCAAACTTAAAATAAACTTCGGCGCAACAGTTTCTTACATAGGAAACTTTCAAAAAAAAAAACTAGCCTATAGGAAGAACGCGCTGAGTGCGGAGAAGTCCTCGTCGCCGTCGCCGCCATAGCCGTCGTCCTTCTCCTCCTTGACGCGGCCGCTGCCGCCCCTACTGGACCCCTGCCCGCCGTCGCCCTGGCAGACCGGTGGCGGCGCATCGTCATCGAGGATGATGACTCCTCCCTCATCGCGGCACCAGCGCCGAGCGAAGAACTGCTCTAGGGCACGGACTTGGCGCTCTAGCTCCGTCTGCTACGAGTCCTCACACGCCCACTTCAACGCCGCCTCCTTGGAGAGGCCCGGCTCCGTCTTAACCGCGGCGAGCCCCGGCTCCGTCTTCACCGTGGCGAGCCCGGCCTCCGTCTTCGGCTTGACGAAACGGGGAGGGGCCGAGGAGGAGGCGCGCCCACCATCGTTGATGACGATGCCGGCGCTGCGTGTTCGTCGGCCAAGCGGCGTCTCACCGGGCTTAGCCTTGACGTTGAGCAGCGCCGGCGACCCCGACGAGGAGGAACGTGAGGAGGAGAAAGAAGAGGGCGCCGCCCTCCTCGGCATCCACTGGCCGTCGATCCGGGCCGGGACGGGAGGGTAGGTCAGGGGCGGGTTGTTGCCGCCCTCGAGGTGCCCGAGGACGGCGTCAAGCGAGCGGTCGGGGGCGCCCCACCACAGGCGGCGCCCCTCGCTGTTCAGTCTGCTCGGGGGAGAGAGGGGAAAGAGAGGTGGAGCTCGGCGGCGGTGCGCGGGAAGAGAGGCGGAGAGCTCGGCGGCGGGGCTGTGGGCGGGTGTGGCCAGAGGCGAGGGAGAGGCCTGGCTTTTATAACCGGGCGTCGTGTGTATGCGTGACGGAAGGGGAGGCGTTGTTGCGCCGCCCGTGAGGAATCAATGGCAAGGCTGACCGGCGACAGCCTTGCCATTGATTCCCCACGGGAAACCGAGGCATCGTGAGGACGCCGAGGCGACTGTCGCTGACTCGGCGGGCCCGCGGCGCGTTTGCGCCAAAATCGCTCACTCCGGCGCCCCCCGGGCGCCCCCAACGCACCGGGTTCGGCCTGGATACGCTGGCATCAATTTCGGCTCAATGCGGTGAAAAATAGGCTTTTGAGGACGCAACTAGGCCGATTTTTAGACGCCGGCATAGTAAAATCGTCTGGAAAAGGTCTGTTGGGGACGCGACTGAAGATGCTCTCAGTACATGACTCAAACGAATGCACTAGAAGACCAACGCCGGTGGCTTTGATATCAGCAATAATGAGCCCCACTTGTGATCGATCCGTCATCAAAGCCCCACTCCCCCACCACCGGGAAAAAAAACTTGAAAGAAAGCCCGATGTAGGATCTAGTCTTGGACCGGAAGTGGAGTTTCTACACCCAGGAGCATTTGCTCCTAGTGTGAACAGTAAAATAAAAAATTTCAAAAAAATGTCAAAAAATTCTGAATATTTTTGTGGCATACTTATACAAATGTTTGTTGTGCACGTAAAATTTCATCGCGAAATCACATTGGTGGAAGGTGTGGTAAAAAAACAAAATCGATGCTCTGAAAATGTTACTTGCAAAAGCATTTTGAAGCTCTGATTTTGTTTTTTTCGGCACGACTTCCACGAATGTGATTTCGTGATGAAATTTTTCATGCACAAGAAACACTTGTGAAAGTATGTGACAAACAAAATTCAGAATTTTTTGAATTTTTTTCTTTTTTTTTTTGATTTTACTGTTCACACCAGGAGCATTTGCTCCTGGGTGTAGAATGGTACTTTCGTCTTGGACCTCGGTTTTCCATTCAGAGTTTGTCCTGAAACGTATGGTTTTTATTTCTTTCGATTCGATGATATAGGTATGGTGACTTTTTTTTTACTTGTCCTCACATACATTTTATTTAATTTTCAATACAAGATAGACCTTCTTCTGGGTTTATATTCAATACAAAATACATATAGCTGGAGAAAAGCCAAGATGAACCGTCACGATAAGCCTGATTATCACCATGGCCGGGCAGTGTTTTCTCTTTTCTTTTTTCTTTTTTTTATTTTTAAATTCATGAATTTTTTTTATATTCCCGAACATTTTTCAAGTTCTTGATTTGTTTCCAAATTGTGACACTTTTTTTGAGTTTATGGAATTGTTAGTATTAATGATTTTTTAAAATTCGTGATCATTTTTCATATTCCTTAAAAAAATAGATTCTTGAACTATTTTCTAATTAGTGAACATTTTTTTATTTGGCAGACATGTTTAATTCGTGATCTTTTTGAATTCATAAACATTTTTTCAATCTTGAAGATGTTTAAATATTTGCGAACTTTGGAAATCAAAATAAAACCGACAGCGACATATGTTTGATGTAATAAAACCAACCGACATAAAAGACCAGATGAAAAATATCGAGAGAGAGAGTGAGAGAGAGAGACGCGTCTGATCGCGCGCTGGGCCTGGCCCATTTACAGTACGTGCATAAATCACTGCTAGCTTTTTCGGGGACCTTCTTTTTTGTTACAACATTTTTTTTGGATCTTTTTGGGTACTCCAATCTTCTGGTGCCCCCCTTGCCCGTCCCTCTTTCCTTCAATCTTTCTTAACCCCCACCTTCGCCGATCCTTCAAGCCAAGAAATTCTTCTTTGTGGGCATCCGTCTTCTCCCCTCCACTCCAGCGAATTCGCTTAGGGCATGTTTGGTTATAGTCTTGAACAGTACCCGCGTTGCATACACATCTCAACTCAGCCTGGCTCTGAAAAAACAGCCTCATATGCAACATCTGCAAGTTGTTTGATTGCCTGCATATGAACTTCCTACATTAGGGAATCAACTTTGACATGTTGTTTGGTTACCTGCATTGTCTTGGCGCATGCAACTACACGCTGTTTGGTTGTCCGCATGAGAAATCCTTGAAGCAAACCCGGATGAAAAACTCCCCAACCCACACATGATTAGGCTTTGACTGACTGACAGGCATACATAATCAATAGAGAAAGTGTCGACAGACTGAAACTTTTTTTTTGCGGTGATATTTTTTTTTTGAAACTATCAACCCTGAACCCGAATTTATCTGTCTGTCTTCTTCAACTCTGATGACGCACGCACTTCAACCTCAACTCCTCCGAGGAACCCATGCTCTTGCTCCACCCACAGTTTTCTGAAACCCATCTCTTGCTCCGAATTGCAACACCTGTCTAATGAACCGGAACTAATGCCTAGCCGTTCGAATCGGGACTAATGATACCATTAATGCCGGTTCATTTACAAATCGGGACTAATGTGTCTCACGTAAAGTAGTTTTTCTACTAGTGCCCTCATCAAGAAAAAAACAGCCCAATCCCTTCCTAGACTCAAAAAAAGAAAAAAAAAGAAAGAAAAAAATAGGAGTACCTAGAACTCATTTAGATGAGATATAATTTGGTATCATTCATCTTTTATAGCCATTGAATGTGATGCTATAAAACGCGTGTGTGCTGACGTAAGTTGTATTTGTTCTTGTTTGAATGAGATTAAATTATATCTCATCTAGATGAGTTCCAGCTAAACTGAAAAACAATCCCGTCCCCTCGATATATAACAGATTAACAGGGCGCCCTCGCCCTCTCTCTCGGAAAAAATATCGATCTTCTTTCCGCCGTGCCGCCGTGACCCCAGCTTCGTCAATACTCCTCCAATCTAAGCGACTGCTCGTCGCGGCTGTCCTCCAGTGGATTCGCTTGGTAAGGAACCCCCAACTCGCTCGGATCTGTTGGATGCCTTAATTCATCTTCTTGTCACACGGATCTCCTTCTGATCTAATCTTCCCTTTGTTGTGATGAAATCATCAAGATCTGTCTTGGCTCAAGGTCGATCTGGCCCCTTCAATTTTTTGTAGTATTCTATATGGTGCGGGGGGCATCTTCATATGTATTTTGATGCCTATTACCCTCAAACTTTTGCTGTTACTGTTTTCAGATAGTATCACCAAGAGCAATCATTCCTCTTAAATTAAATTAAAAGAGCAATTGTTTAAAAAAATCAATGTAATGAAAATAAAAATTTGGTTGATCTTGCTTGTTCGTTTTTCAAAACAATACAGATATGTTCATGCGAGTCCTGCAGTGTATTGCCCTCGGCTGATATAGTACCAATAGCAGTCAGTTAAATTTATGTTTCCAAAAAAATTATGCATCAGGGTTCACTGTACTAACACCCAAATTATTCCCATGTGTGTATTTCACTGCAGAACATCTTGCTAAATTAGTAATGCTGATTGGAGCAGCAGAAATTGGTGGGATGATGGATAGCAGCAAGAGAAAAGGTGTCATGCCATCCTGTGGCGATGCTGCCAAGATTACAGCAGAGGTGTTCCCAAGCAACAAGAGGAAGAAGGCCGTTGTATCTCTCTGTACACTGTTGCTTCCTGATGCCATGATGTTGGAGGTGCTACTTCGGCTCCCTATCAAATCCATTCTCCGCTTCCGGGCTGTCTGCCGCTCTTGGGCTGCACTCTTCTCCTCCAAGGATTTCTGCAGCCTACGCATGGCCATCTCTAAGGAGCTGCCACAAGCACCAAAGCTACTCATGCTTGTCTCGCCCACAACAGGACTGAACTCCACCGCAATGTACTCATGCTCGCCGTCAGGCTCCAGAGACGATTTACTCTTCACCGTCGACACCGCACGCCGCAATTCCATGGGAATAGTGACGCCCTCTCCATGCCATGGACTCACCCTTCTATATGATGATGCCGCGCCAGCTTACTATGTTTGCAATGCAGCCACACGGGCAATCACACGTCTGCCGCCTCACTGTACTCCACCAACATATCGTTCCACTGCCGGACTTGGATTTGATGCCCGGACTAGGGAGTACAAGGTGGTGAGGTTGATCACTGGGCGTTGCGGTGACAAGGAGAGGAACAAGTGTGAAGTGTACACGCCTGGAGCTGCTTGCTGGAGGCCGGCGGCCGGTGGAGGAGTGCCTTTCAGGTTGTACAGGTATGCAATTTCTGCAGCTATACATGCGGCGACGCAGAAAGTACCACCGGTGTTTGCCAACGGATTACTACACTGGTTCATCGGTCCTTCCCTTATCGCCGCAAGGACAAGAGCTCCCATCTTAACATTTTCCTTGACGGACGAGACCTTCGGATGTGTCCGATCACCCCCACCCTTCTGGACATCAGAAGTGCACCTGCACTACGGGTCAGAAAAAGAACACCTGGTTGTGATGGATGACCACCTGTGCATGGTCCGTGACCTTCGCAATACAATCCCTCGTGATGGCACTTTGGAGATCTGGAAACTGCTGGATTATAGCCCTGGTGAATGGTCACTCTATCATCGAATTCATTTGTTCGGCCACGTGGGAATATATTTGCTTGATGTGATGGCTGTGAGGGTTGTTGGACTCATTGGCGGCTGTAGGTCAGGGAAGAAGATAGTCATTGCTTCTAGCAAAGACAAGTTCGCCGGCCAGTTTGAGCAGAAGCTTCACACCTATGACCCTAGGTGTCAAGCTCTAGAGACCATCCTCTCCATAACCGAGACACACACACATACCAGGCCTGCTTCAACATTCAGTTTATTTGATGAAGAGAGCCTTGTTCAAGTGCATAGTAAACCAATGGATAGCTAGCCATGCCATCTACCATGGCTAATGCCACCAAATCAGACATGGTTTAAATTTTTGTGCAACTAGCTAGCTGCTCAGATTGATTTTGACTGGATACTTTATTCTGTCATGCATTAAACAGTACTAGAATATGGTGAATATACCAAGATCACTGTTGTGGATATCTTCTATCACCCGAAGTACTTCAAATCTCGTCGATATTATACCTGGCACACGCATTGTGGCGGTTCTAGCTTTGAAGTTGGTTAATGTTATACCTGGGGTAAGAGAAGCTCAGCCAAAGTGCTATCTTGAGGCGATGAATTTCTTTTTGGTTGTTCATGCTCCATTCATTTGAAAAGAGTATTAGTTTGGTAACACGACACACAATGATGTATGGGAAATTAGTCTGTAAAGAGTAGTAGTTTGAAAAGAGCTAAATTCTTGTTGTATTAGGTCTGTAACATTTGGGCTCAGAAATTATCAGTTTGATAGATATATGACGAGGATAAAAATGTTGAATGCATTGATAAATGAAATTTCTCAGCCACAGTTTTGTTGGGCGTCTGAACGTTTTAGAGATTTCTGCATACAAGCTTTCATGTTGGAACTAAATTGTCCCAGTTATGCATGTGAGTGTTGTGGTAGGGACATGACGAGATCGTGATGACTGGATTAGTTTACAGTTTATTTGGGTACCCATCAAGTTGGTGTTCGAAGCGGCCAATATTTTTGTCTACTCTGTTGTCTGCTTAGCTAGACGGTCACATGTTCAGAACCACTCTTAACGACACAATGATCATGGTAATTGTTTGCACAGTTCTACGCGTTGTAATTATGCTTCTTCTATACTCTCCTTGAACATCTCCGTCGATCGAATAATGCACTTTCCTGTTTGTAGATTGCAAATATATCTATCTGATGCTTCAATGACAAATCGATGATCAATAGATCAGGCTTTGTGCTTCAAATCCGTCGGACCTCGAAGGCGATGGCAAAGATTTATGCGGATCTGGCTTTTGATACGAAGCATCCATTCATGTTCATAATCTGTTGTGATCGTGCTTGCTTAATTTTCTGTAGGTATATGCAACTTTTTCGGGAATTTTTTCAACAGTTTCTTCAGTAAAACGATCTTATATCATTGGAAGTAACACCACTGGCTAGGTGGTGATAATATTCGTCATTTACATGTTTTATGACATCCTAATAAGCTCAAACCAAAATAATGGAGATTAGGAACCTACCATACACAGGAGGCGCCACGCCCTCCCAATGATGTTGTGGTAGTATCGAGGAAGATTCACCGGTCACCACGGTCGGCTACCTTGCACGTCACCACTACTAGCAAGTTCATGCCAATCGCTGGTCACCTCTTTTGTTAAGCAGTGCAAATAATGCTGAACATTCTACCCAATTTATAGTGGAAAATAGTAGATCATGCTAAAGGCAACTGCTACATCATTAGCAATTCAAAATCAACTAGGACTTTCAGATATGTTCTTGTTTACCAAAAATTGAACAAGAGAAGTCCCACAAAACAGGGAAATGGATGAATAATTATAAAGTATATGTTTATGCATGTCGTACATCGAAACAAGAAAAGGACATACATGTAAACTATGCCGGGTAACTTGCTTGGATTCTTACCTGATTTTGAGTTAACTCATAACAAATGCACAATTAACTGTCTATGATTTTCCATTCACACAATGCAGCTAATTATTTATCATCATCACAAGAATCAAGAAACGCATAATAGCCAAACCACAAAAAACAAGGGCAAGGACAACACCAAACATATTCTTCATAATTATAGGTTACGCCTGGATTTAATTGTGCATAAGGCAACAATTCCGAGAGTTACACCACAATCACGTGCATGACAACTGTAATGTTAGCAAGATTCTTGGAAGTCCTTAAATTACAGAAGATTTCCTCAATAGTGATTTTTCGTCTGTTATCCTTTTTGCATGGAGCCGTAGTTTCTTTAGCACATTTTTGAAGGCCAGGTCTTGATGAGTTTTATGCACCGGAGCAAGGATCTCTTCAAGTAAGCTGAATCTTGAACCAGGGACGAAGAGCATAAGAGAGGTGTGCGTCTCGGTGACCGAAAGAATGCCCTCTAGAACTCGACGGCTAGGATCATATGAGTAAACCTTTTTCTGAAACTTGTCGTGAACCAAGTGCTTGCTAGTCGCAATCACAATCTTCTTCCCCGACTTGCAATTGCCAATAGTACCAATAACCCTCATAATCTGTGGCTCGGCCAATTTTCCTTCTACCTGCCCAAACAAATCGATTCGATGTTTGAGGGACCAATCACCAGAGCCATAATCCAGCAGTCCCCAAATCTCCAAGGTGCCGCCATGAGGGATTCCGTTGCGAAGATCCCGGACAATGCACCGCTGGTCATCCATCACAACCAGGTGCTCTCCTTCCGACTGGGATGAGGAGCGCAGATGCTCTCTTGGCCCCCAGAACGGCGGCGAACGGACACATCCGAAGGTCTCCTCTGCGACAGAAAACGATACGATAGCAGCTCTTGGCCTTCTGAGTTATGGCCCAGCGTCTTGGAGGCCGCCATGTGGAGGCTGCGGAAATCCTTGGAGGACAGCGTTGCGGCCCAGGAGGGACAGACGGAGTGGAAACGCAGGATGGATTTGACCGGGAGCCGGAGTAGAACCTCCAGTATCATGTCATCAGGGAGCAACGGTGCCGATGCACAAAGAGATACAATGGCCCTCTTCCTCTTGTTGCTTGTGATTCGGAGCACCTCCGCCGCCTTCTTCTTGGTGGCCTCGCTGCGATTTGGACCCCAAGATCACACGGGAAGAGAGTTTATTTTGGGGGTGCTGCTGCGGCTCCAGCCAGCGTGAGGCACCGAGTCGATGACCAGCACCCTGAGATCGAGCTCAAGAAATGGCACCCCCACTCAAAATGAGCAACAAGAATGGATACAACTTCCGACTACGCTGCGATGCATTACATACAAATTTGGAAAACTCGCTCTCAACTCTACCCCACAACTCTGCATATCATGAAGCATTTATTCCATTTTGTCAAACATCACGAATATACTGCAGAAGGGGACATCTACAACAGTCCTTTGAAATTGTTCATTAGGTTCTGACTTGTTGCTTGACAAATAAACCGGCAAGGTGCCAGAGCGCAATCCACGCGCTATTTGAGCGTGCCAGGTTTGGCATCAAATGTGTACTGGAGGACCAAAGATACAAGAGGACTTGCGTTATGGAAATCAATAACATGAACTCGTACGTGATACAGACAAGGTACAGCAGAAAGGTGTTCCCTAGAGAGAGAGATCCTCAAGCACAAGGAACAAAACGCACAATTAAACACATGACACACCTCAGAGCTGCTGTCATCTAATAAGAATATAATATGACCTAGAACGGAAACAAAGAATCAGCTATATATGCCCCCCAAGAACAGGGGAGAGAAGAGATCGATGTCACCAAACAAGGAGTAAAGGTGAACACACACTAGGGCACGATAAGTCAACAAAAAATTATTTTGACCATGCAACCGCGTCGATCTCTGCTTGGGCGCTCCGGTACAGCTCCAGCCTCTTGGCGAGGTTTGTCCTCCGCTCCATGACCGCGGGGTCCTCGTCGAGGAGCTTCGAAAGTTGCCTAATCTGCAAATGCAGATGTATGTTAATTATTGATATTCCATCGTATTTCTCTTAAAATTAAAAGGGAAGTATGAAACATGATAAAAAACTAGGGAGTAATTCACTAGTTGGCTGGCAAAGTACTAGTGCATGGTACAGACAAAAACATGCATCATCATGAAGAAACTTAGCTCAGAATTGACTAAAGATCTACAGATTAGCGGTTTTCTAAAATACGCAATGAATAAACAGAGAGTCCATGTTAGACTCTGGTGAGAAATACATGCATACAAACAGCTAGAGTTTAGAGATGATAAAAGGAAAAATAAACTCTCTGAAAAAATATATTAAGCAATAAAAGAACCCTATATCAAATCTTACAGTAACATCACCAATCAGGTCACACTTGTATGTTACAAATCAAAGGCTCAAAGGACCTCCACGTGTTTCAAAAATCTTACCTCTCTTGCTCCCAGCTCAGTAAAGAAGTGGTCGAGCAATGAGCGCTTTGCCTCACGGACTTGGCAGTACACAATAGATTTTGGGATGGAGTTCCTCAATGTTGAAGATACCATGTTAACATATGCCAGAACAGTTGTCCCTGAGGTTGAGTAGCAAATACAAATAAAAATATAAGCTATCTATCAAGCAATACACAAAGACATGCTAAATAGAGAACATATCAGGTGAGACTCAATTGTGACCAAATATGCAAATTTGGCTGGTTCAAATTCTAATTCAAGATTAAGTAATATGTCAACCTTGAAAGAAGATGACTGTCATTGGGCAAGTTATGGAAGGGTATAATAAATGGGTACATAAAAGATAGATGCCTTACCAATTCGTCTTAGATAAGAATCATTATATCTATCGAAAATAGAGTGGCTTGGGTTTCCACCCTTCTCAACATCCTGAGGAAGCTTCCTGAAGAAATCTACAGTTAAGTAGCTTGTTTCCATATCAACCAGCTTTAATGTGTTCTTCTTGCTTTCATCCCTCATTCTTTCCAACGACTCAAAAGCTGCATTGCCAACTTCCACACGAAGAGTGGGGAACTGCTTGAGCTCCTGGAGAAAGGTAAATGAACATTTCGGGTGAGCATTTAACCAGCATTTTTAATTAATTAGACTACCTTTTCTTTTGAAATCCACTTATATATCTGCCTACAATCTTAATGCTCAAAATTCTGCAGAAGATCTTAGTTTGTATCGATAAGAAATACCTATCCGATGCAAGTTCTAACTTTATTTTGATATGCCACATCCCCACCCTTTAAAAAATCAAACACTACAATTTTATTTACTCATCACACCACCAGAGAGCACATATGCTCTAGTTTATAGAAAACATTATGATTGCATCAAACAGATAGTGTAAGAAAATGTAT